GTCACATTGGTGCATCAGTACTTTAGAAGTATTACAGTACTTTCAAAGTACTGTCCACTTTAAAGTACCGCAGTACTTTCCAGGTGTTTCAGTGCTCAATCGCCTGTTTCGGCCTGTTCGGGGATTTTCGGGAAGGTCACATTGGTGCATCAGTACTTTAGAGTATTACAGTACTTTCAAAGTACTGTCTACTTTCAAAGTACTGCAGTACTTTCCAGGTGTCTCAGTGCTTAATCGCCTGTTTCGGCCTGTTCGGGGATTTTCGGGAAGGTCACTTGGTGCATCAGTACTTTAGAAGTATTACAGTACTTTCAAAGTACTGTCCTACTTTCAAAGTACTGCAGTACTTTCCAGGTGTCTCAGTGCTCAATCGCCTGTTTCGGCCTGTTCGGGGATTTTCGGGAAGGTCACATTGGTGCATCAGTACTTTAGAAGTATTACAGTACTTTCAAAGTACTGTCCTACTTTCAAAGTACTGCAGTACTTTCCAGGTGTCTCAGTGCTCAATCGCCTGTTTCGGCCTGTTCGGGATGTTCGGGAAGGTCACATTGGTGCATCAGTACTTTGAAAGTGAGACAGTACTTTGAAAGTTGGACGTAGGGTAATACTTTCTCCGTACTGACGCACCAAAGTGACCTTCCGAACATCCCGAACAGAAACAGAGACTGAGCGCTGAGACACCTGAAAGTACTACTAAAGTACTGATAGTGAATTACTGCCATAGCAGTAATACAGTGCTGTATTACTGCCGTAGCAGTAATAAGGTACTGCAGTGCTGAATAAAGCAAAGTGCTGCTACGCTTTAAAAATACTATAAGTAATGCTTTGCAGCTAAGTAATAGCTTTTAATGGTTACCGTAAACAATCGGATTCGAGTTAGTACTGAATAAATGTGCGATTCATTAGTAGAGTTAATCCTTGATAAAAAAGACACACAACGAAACCGAATAGAAATACTGTAATTAAGGTAGACTTTTCTCGAGCTGATTTTACCTCGCTTACACATTTTTCAGGTATAGAACTACTTCCTACCTTAATTTTTTTTGAAAGAAATTGTTTTAGTTGTAGTGTGATGGTACTGGAAGATTATAAAGTACTGCAGTACTTTGTAGCAGTGCAGTTCTTGTGCAAATGCCCCATATATTGTTCGCCTGTTTCGTGATGTTCGGCGATGTTCGGGAAGATCACCTTGAAAATGTTTTGGTAGTACTGTATTATTTTAGTTTGAAATAAATACTACAATATTTGTAGTGCGTAAGCAGCGTAAGTACTTACTGTAAAGTGCTTTCGCCATCGTTCGCACCACAAATCAGTCGATTTACGAGGTAATGCCGACGGCTTTCAAGTTGACTTACAAGGCGCTGCTGCAAATTATACAGTATGCACCTTGGCCCAGTATTAATTTGTGTATAACACGCAGTGCAAGTATGGCATTAGCAGATATTTAGCACCACATTTGTTTTACAGTAGTACTGCTACCCGTAGTACTCATGGTTGTCTTACAACCCTTTTACTAAATCACGGTTTGTTGGTGTTGTTGCTGTTGTTGCATAAACATACAGCAACTCATACTCATCCTTTTACTAACTCACAGTTTGTTAACTCATCGCGACGAAAATTGACTAAGCACAAACTGTCTCCAAGCGACTGTTAAAGAAGCATGCGAAATCATTATTGTCAGTAAAAGTACTGACTAAGTTTTTATAATAGTAAGTATGGGCTTTATGGTTGCATGAGTACTGTACTGCTCAATAATGCGCATTCTGGTTCAAATCAGTACTGTAGTTAACTATGAATCTATTAATAACAGTTTAATAAATACACTAACTATCTAAGAAAAGCAGCATGTGAATCAGTATGACTGCAGTGCAAACAGTCTGTGTAATCACAAATAAAAAAAATTCGCTGAAAAACAGGAAATAGACTGTACAGAAATTTCTGTACTATGATACTAACCGAAGTTAATGGCGCCACTGTACTCTGAAATACTTAGTATGCTGCTGCCCCAAACCCCACGTGTACGACTGCGGTTGAGTGTAAAACAATGGAAGTTATTGAACTAAGGCTTTAAAATTTTAAATTGGTTGATGGGTCAGAGTTTTAGTAATGCAAAGTTATATCCTTATTATGCCCCAGTGCTCGAACACGACGTGAATTTTCTCGATGTCGATAAACAACCTGAAAAAATTTAATGAACCGTAAATACTTGTAAATGCAATTATGCAAGTACCAGTGGTGCACAAAAATATGCACCATAATGTACATAAACATGCACCATAATATAAAGGGCATATATGGGCAGAGTAGCAAGCGGCGAAGGGCCGACGGTAGATACTATACAATAACTGACAATTGTGAGGTAAGTAGTGGTTAGGTTCATGGTGCACAAAACATACGGTGCATGCACCAGTGGTGCATTAATATGCACCGTTGGTACGGATCTTTACTGGTGCCAATAGTCATCTGCAAAAGCGTATGTGTACAGTTGATAAGACGGACCCTTGTTAGCTATGCACCGTATTCGTATTTCGCAGGGAACGAATTCAGATGTGTTACGTTTTCCAAAAAATGTCTACAAGCGCTTTGCTATCTTTTCCTGTCTTGACTCCTTAGGAAAACAGGCACAATACCGCACATTCGACACACTTTTAAATACGGGATGTATGCCGGTGTGAGACCGGGATCACTAGCGTTCACGTCAGTGGCGCTACGCCTGTGGCGCTACGCCTTTGGACTACGTGTCTGTGTTGTGTCTCTTGTGATTGGCTTGCGTTCTGATAGTGGGCGCGGCATAGCACGTGCTGCACAGCGCTGCACGCTGTTGAATTGGCTCTACGTTTTACGATCGAGCTGCGCCGATCAGTTGTTGATTTTCTGTTCTCCAGACTTTCAATATTAAAAGTCAGCTATTAGCAGTGCGACGTTTCGTGTTTCCGCGTAGTTCGCTATCCATACTGCATAGCTCACTCCGCAGGATAGATTCTGTTTCTGTCTCTGTTCCTGGATCTATTCTGGATCTAGCTTTAGATGGTAGCAGAGCCGACAGCGGTTCTCTGATTTGAATTTGTCAGGCAAAGTTGGCCTGTTATCGGACGTGTTTCTGTGACCAGTAAGGCACAGGTCGGTGCGACAGCAAAGCGCACACCACAAGCGGTGCAATTCCTTCATCGGACGCGAACTTCCAGCTTCGGTTTTCGGTACAGTGTCTTCAGCGAAGACCTGTGCTGTTTCCTTAGCTGTGCAAGAGTACAAGATTTCAGTCGGCAGTGTTCCTCGGTACGGAGTCTTCAGCGAAGACCCGTGCTGGTGTCACTGTTACTCGGCAAGGCTTCAGCGAAGCCTAAGCCGTGGGCCACAAGCGGCGAAGCGCCAAAAGGGGCGCACGGGACAAGAACAGATCAGACTCCTCCAAACTGGAGTAGAGCGCCACTACTGTTGCTACGGCAGTCAGCCGGCACAGTAACCGACCAAAAGCGTGCGGCACAACCGTTACGGTAAAACCGGCGGCAGCGCGGGAGCGGAGTGTGGAGAAGAATCTGGATCATTTGGATCATCTCCCCGTGGAACGCGGAACGGACGGACGGTTAACAGGTAGAAAACCGTTAATAATTACGAGATTGGCTAGTTAGTAAAATTGGCAATTTTTATTGGTCCGTTCTGAGCTGAGCGTAAAAATAGGCGGAGTTTTGCACACGGCGCGCATGTCTGGCCGTTGACCGTGACGTCAGGCAGATATAAAATTTTAGAGGAGCAACGTGATTGGTCAGTTATCTGAGCTGTGATTGGTTGAAATTTGAACTGAATGATTTGCGCTAGCTGACCAATAGGAATGAAGTAAACAACCCGGATGGGGATTTTCCGTTGAACTCGAGTCGTAATGGGAAATTTGATTTGAGATGAGATAATTGAGCGGGAAAGTGACCTTTTAACTTGAATTGAGTTGAGAAGTGACCTTTTGAGTTGAGACAAAGGAAAAGTGACCTTTGATTAAATTGAGCTGGAAAGTGACCTTTTAACTTGAATCGAGTTGAGAAGTGACCTTTTGAGTTCAGACAAAGGAAAAGTGACCTTTGACCACAGTCGAGTTAGAAAGTGACTTTGATATAATTGAGCTGGAAACTGACCTTTAACTTGAAACTGAGTTGGAAAGTGACCTTCTGAGTTGAATTGAGTCAGGAAGTGACCTTTGAGACCAGAACAGGACTTTTGACCTGAAAAGTGACCTTTACTAAAAAAGTTGGAATTGTCCTAAGTGACTTATTTAAGTGACCTTTGTGATCTGAAACTGACGAAAGGTGACCTTTATCAAAGCGAAATTGAAGTGAATAGTGATACAGCGATATCAGCAGCTGTAGGATTTCATTTGCTAACGTGTTTCAAACTGTAAAAAACGGTCTCGAAGTTTTGTCCGAAAGTGACCTTTTAGGGCAAACCTCTCGAACTTTTTACCGAAAAAGTGACCTTTAAACGGGACTTGGTCGAAATTTTTCAGTCGAAAAGTGACCTTTAATAAGGACTTAGAAAAATTTCGGAGGTACAAAGTGACCTTTAGGGAAATTGAATAAACCATACAATAACGTGTGTGTGAGAACAATTGACAGGAGCGTCCAAGTTATCCGATCAACATGGACAAAGAACAAGAAGAACCGACATCTACCAGCAGTCAGGGAAGCAGGAGCTCCCGAGGATCACAACAAAGCGCAGTTGATCCATATAAGAAGGAATACAAGTCGCTCGCGCGTCCAGTCGGACATGATAGACAGACCCGAGCGGCTGTGACCTTTGCAAGAAAAGACAGCAAAGGCAGTGATAGCACATACCAAGTGGCGCTTGGAGCTACACAGAATGAGGAGAGCTCCAGCGGTGACGGAAAGGATACTCCCGCATCTGCGGCGGGAAGTCAACCGATGAACCAGACAAAGGTCACAGGGGAGGAAAAACCCACAGAAAGGGGAGCGGAACCAGTTGGTACATCACAGTTGGATGCCACCACTGGCGGAATGAATGAGCAGGATACAAATGTGAACCTGGCTCAAGTGGAAATGAACAAGACAAAGGCCACGGAAGAGGAATTGGTTGAATTGGGATTGAGTGACCTTTCACTGAATGACAAGGCGGCAGAAGATGACCTTTGGGCAACTCCAATGGTCTCAGATGAATCTAATGAATCGTACTTCACCGATGACGAAGCGACGATGAATATGTCCTTCCAATCGGCGATGAGACTTGCTGACCGTGCTCAAGGAATGACACCTTTCAAGGATATACCGGAACATCTCATCGAACGGACACAGACGGGAAAGGTCATCAATGTAAGACCGCCGTCGCCGAATAGCCCCACGTCAACTCTGAGGAGGCGCGTGAAGGATTTGGAAGATGAACTCCATAACAAGGAAGACCAGACGGCGAGACGAAAACAGGAATATCAAGAGAGGTTGACATCGCTTGAAACCCGGTTGTTTGAGTTGGAACAACAACGGGGTTACTTGGAGAGCACAGCAGAGGAAGGGAAAGTGAAGTACGAAAAGCAAAGGGAACTGGCTGAAGAGTACTTGAAAATGGTTGATGACAGAGAAATGGAAGGTCATCTTGCGGTCAGTGAACTTAACGAGAGCATGTCAGAAGAAACAGCGGAAAGGTCACGGCACTTAGCCGAATTGAAAGACGAATGCGACTCACTTAAACTTAAGGTCACCGAAGCGGAAGCCAAGCGAGACGAATACGCGGCCAAACTTGTCGACGTGACCCAACGATTGCTGACAAACACCAACGAAGTGTTTAAGTTGAGAAATGAATTGAAGTTACGGGACGAGAACATTGGAACCCTTCAGAAAGAATCACAAAATCATCAGAAGAGAGCCGATGACGCTGTCAAAGTGGCTAAGGACCTGAGGGAGCTCACAGCCACTGAAGGTGTGAGGCTGAAGAATGAAATTAAGCAGGTGATGGAAGAGAACAAGTCGTTGAAAGAAGATGTTCGAAAGGTCACCGAAGAGAATACCGAGTTGAAAAAGACTGCTAAGACAATTGCCGAGCAAGGCATGAGGTGGGAACATGAGGCACACCTTTTGGACGAAAAGGTCACGGTACTTGAATTGAAAGATAAGGAGTGGCAACAATCAGTCCACCAGAAGACGCAGGAGATTATCAAGCTCAACACGGAGCTGATTGATATGACCCAAACGGTGATGACAAGAGAAGATGAGGTCACCCAGACGAAAAACCAACTAAAAGCAGCAGTCGAGGAATACACAAAGCTGGAAAGGGATGTGACCCAGTTGGCGGAACACATTAAAAAGGTGGAGAATGACACTGAAAAGGTCATTCAGGAGAAGACTTTCCAACTCCACCAACATATGTTAAAGGTCAAGTAGGAGAATCAGAACTTGAAAACGGAGAAAGAGGAAGTCCAGTTGAAAGTCCGTCGCCTTGAGGATGAGAATAAGGCGCTTGTTATGTCTAATAAGCACAAAGATGAACAGCTTCTGCAATATGGAGTCAGGACTTCAACAGTGGAGTCGCCCCCGCCCAGTTACAGCAAGGCGCACGAAACGGGCACGGGTAAAAGCTTCCACTTTGAGATGCCGCTACGAACCGGCACCGGTAAGGGGAGTGTTAAAAATGAAAGAGAAGGAGAAAAGGGCAAAGAAGACAAAGAGCCACCTTCGGAAAGTAACCCGCATATGAGTCGAGGTGACCCTTCACAATTTCCCTCGCATTTTGAAACAAACGTGTTCATCGATGAAGGGCGACGGGACAGACCCTCCAGCCGGCAGGAGCGTCCAAGGAAATCCCGTTATGGAAAAGCGAAACGAAACCAAAGTGATGATGCAAGTAGCGAAGAGGACGAAGACCAGAGGGCAGAAAATACAGCGGTGCAATTGACAAAAGCACTCAACTCGATGGCCCGGAAAACACCACTCATGACCTTTGACGGCAGTCGTGACACAGTGAGCGGCTGGACACGACTAGTAAAGGAAACCCAAAGAACCTACCAGCTAACGGACGACCAAATTATGATTGAGATTGCTAGCGCGGTGAAAGGTCCTGCCAAAACTTGGTTCGAAGGTGAAAAGGACATCGCAGCAGAAGACAGAATCGAATACTCAATAACTGAATGGATGGATAAATTTAAGGATGAATATGGCGATAGAGACGAAGAAGTCTTAGGCTTACGTGAAGCCTATGCAAGAAAATTCGAACTCGGAAAGGAATCGCTTGATCAGTATTACCAGGCGATGATGCGATTCAAAGCAAAACGGATTATCACAGAGAAACAAGCAGTGGGTTTCCTGATTGAAGGATGTAGAGGGGACAACGAACTCTACAAAGCCCTGCGCATACAAAAGTGCAAGACGCCAACAGACGTGAAAGATTTCTTCAGACATTGGGCCACTGGTGAAGAGAAATATAAGGCGCCTAAAGGTCAACGTAATCAAGAATACGTGACCATCCGCCAAGGCCAAGTCGAAAATGTACCGCAACAGAGAATGGTAGCTGCACCACCCCAGCAACCAGTCGAATACCGCGCAGAGACTCCGGTCAGAGAGGTCACGGAAAAGGTGACCTTTATCGACAGTCAGACGGGGCAGCCGATAACTTATGCGATGGTAGCGGCGATACAAGCGGCGGCTCAAGTGAGACCGGCACCTCAGAATGCGGCTCCACCGGCACCACAGATAATGGCTCCTATGAATGTCGGGTTACCACAACAAGGTGGGGGTAATGGAAATTTCGGTGGAAATGGATATGGAAATGGAAACTGGAATGGAGGCCAAGGAAACTTTCAGAATCAAGGTCAAGGGCAAGGCAACTTTCAGCCAAACAGAGGAAACCAGAACAATAATCAGCAAAATCAAGGGTCACGAACCGAATTCAAGTTCCAAATGATTGACGGATGGGTGGCGAACAACGTTCAGATGTGCCAGTACTGTATGTACGGCAATCATCAGACACAGGGGTGCAAATTCGCTAACATACCACCAGAACAGAACCCAAACCTGTTTGCCTTCAACGAGTGGCAACGACTGCGCGGGCTCGGTGGTTGGCGCCAAGCGGTCGCAAATGGATATGACCTGATCACGCAATGGTATCAAGCGAAAGCAAACTTTCAGAACCAGCAGGGCAACGGAAACTACGGAAATGGAAATGGCGGTGGCCAGAATGGCGGCTACGGCCGTGGTGGCTTCGGCCGCGGCGGCTTCAGAGGAAGGAACAGAGGCTATGGCCGCGGAAATTACAGAGGCGGTGGAAATGGAGGCGGAAACTACCAACAGGGTGGTGGCCAGCCAAACGGAGGCGGCCCGGTGAATGAACAGCAGGGAAATGTGCAAGGCGCGCAACAAGGCGGGGCGCCGGTTCAGGGAAACGGGCAAGATCAGTAGGCACCGGTGAGCCTACTGATCGACCCGACCCTAAACCACCGGATAAAAGGGAAAGGTCACCACTGCAGAATGGTACTGCAGTGAATGTGACCACTGCAACGGCTATATGGATGCCGTTAGCGAAAAAGCAAAATGGACCGGCTATATGGATGCCGCAACCACAAGAAACGGCTAGATGGATGCCGCCACAGCAAAGAGAAACGGCTATATGGATGCCGTCATCGCAAAAAGGAAATGGAACGGTTATAGGGATACCGTCACAAGGTGAAAGGTCACCGCAGAATGGTACTGCGAGTGGAAATGTTCAAGTGGATAAAAGGTCACCGCAGAATGGTACTGCGAGTGGAAGCGCGCAACGGGACCAAAGGTCACCGCAGAATGGTACTGCGAGTGGAAATTGTCGTGACGGTAGCGCGACACTGCAAAAAGTGCAGCAAAATGAAAGGTCACCGTATTGCAGTGAGAAAGTGTTAGCTGAACGTCGTGCATTACGTAATGCCAAGATTCGACAAGCGCTGTTAAACCAAAAGAAACCGCAAACTGATACCGCAGAAGAAGTGGAAATGCACCACGAATGGTTCCGGAAACAGATAAATGGCAAGTCGAAAGACCAAAATTCACCACCGCAGAACGATACTGCGCAAGAGGAAAATGAGCAACACGCGAAATCCCGGAAATTTTTGGCAGTAAACGACAAGGCGAATGAGCCAAGATGCGATTGTTACGGGGAACCAAAGCCAAAGTTTTGGAATTGTTCAGAAGACGAAGAAGAGAAGCGAATAAGGCAAGAATGGATTAAGCAGAATATCACCGTCATTAGTAATGATGAAAGGTCACCTTCTGTTGGAAAAGCCCAAGTTAAAGGTCAAGGAGCGAGTGCGAATGCGAAAGGTCACGGCGACAGCGTCGTGTTAAAAGGTCAAGAAACAGACTTGACACTGCGAACAGCGCAGCAAAAGAATAAGGAAATGGCACAAAACTCCGATGACTCACTTGTAGATGCAATAACGCTGCAACAGAAGGAAAAGTGGCAAAAAGTGGCCTACAGACCGAATGGCAATCACGGGATGTGGATACCCGTAACGCCGAAGGCAAAGCAGAAAGCGAAAATGTCACAAGAGGACTACTGGGACATGCAACAGTTGCGAACGCAATGTGAAAGAAAGCGACTAGAAGAGTTGGTTACCGGGAAACCAGCGCAAGGGTCACCGAACCCAGTCCCAGCATTCAATCCAGAGGAATATGAGAAGACACTTGCTGACTGGAATTATTCACGTAATGCTCCGCCACAGGATAAACCGCCGAATTATGGAGAAAAAGTCCCCATACAAAAGCTGACAGAACGGCGGATTTGTCATGAAGCGCAACGAAAGGTCACAGGACTTAGCGCAAAATGAACAAAAGGACGGTCAAATGAGATGGCGCAAACGCAACAGAGTAACGCAGTTGAAAGGTCACGGGACTTATCGGAGGCACTGCAAAAGGATGCCAATGACAAGTCACCAGCCCGAACAGACGGAATGTCTTCACAAATCGATCCGACGAAAACGAACAATGAAGTCTCCGCGAAAGTGATCGAATGGATGACCGAAAAGGATATGACATGGTTACATATGAAAGGTCACCAGATGAGATGAAAGATAGCGAAGAAGACGAATTGAAACGAGCGGACCAAATAACAAGTGAAGTCATTGAGAAGCTGAGAGATAAACGAAATGAAAACCGTAAAGAGGAATTGATCCATCAGACGATAAACGAAATGACTAAAGGTCACATGGATGGCACAAAAGCAAATGAGCAAGTGCAGAATGTGGAAAAGGTCACCGGTGATAAAATGGCTACAGAGAAGCGAACAAATAAAGAAAAGCCGCGAAAATATTACGATGTTCGGACTAACGTTCCACACAGGATTGATAAGTTGAGCGAGATACTGAAAGGTCATAGCACTCCAGCAAAAGGACAAGTGCTTCCCGATATGGACCCAGGACCAGTATCGCTCATTCCTGTGAAATGTAAGATTCATACACTGAAGATTCAAAACGGAAAACTGCCCAAGAGAATTGAAGCGTACACACACGAAGTGAAAGTGGGAGACATAAAGGTCAACGCAATGTTGGACACCGGCGCTGAGACGTCGCTGATCAGCAAACCGTTTTGCGAGAAGAATGGACTTCACATGCTCCCATTGCCACCAGATAGATTGGTGAAAATTAAACGGAATTAGCGGAACGTCAGGATTCCTGGTGACGCACTACTGTGTAGCACCAGTGACCTTACGAAAGAAGACAAGCGAACATTCATTCTACGTCCGACCGAAGTGTGACGACGTACAAGTGTTATTGGGATTTGACTTCTTGGAAAAGAAATTCGTACTGTGGATAACGAAGGTGAAGAAGAGAAAAGAAGATGACCCAAAACCAGTTGCCAAAGTACAAGTCGGAAAGGTCACCGAACTTGCAAAACAGACGGAAAGGCTCAAACTGTTAATAAAGCGCTAATCCCAGTACCAGAGGCACCGGGAAACGAAAAGAAAAAGATGACGCGAAAAGAATTGTCACCATTTGAGCAGTTGCAAGTAGATCCAGCAGGAGATCGAAAAGACATTAAATCGGACCTTGCTGGCACAGAAGGGAGAGAAAAGGTCATCCCAGTACCAGAGGCACCGGGAATGACAAAAGTGCAGCAGGAAGAATTATCCCAGTACCAGAGGCACTGGAAACGGAAAAGAAAATGGAAATGTCGGCAAGTTATCCCAGTACCAGAGGCACTGGGAAAGGAAGACGAAAGGTCACCAGCAACTGAGAACTTGGAACGAGAGCGTAATTCGAACCTTTTCGAACCACGATCTGCTACCCAAAATGAAAGGCTACCAGATAAAGCCAAAGAGGAAGTAACAGAACGTGACTCTCAAAAGGAACCCTTTTTCGAACCACGACCTGCTACCGAAAGGTCACCAACACTTGAAGAGATAATTGCCACACAGAAAGAAGCGGCAGTTGCAGCGAAACAATCGCTTGTGCCAGACATGGAGTGGGTAAGCCTATCCCAGTACCAGAGGCACTGGAAATAAAGACGGCTAAAGTGGGAAGGATAAAAAGAGTGAAAGGTTACGAGTTTTGAAACGAATAGTTGAAGAGGAACAGATGTTTACAGGCGAAATCCGCGACAAGGCACTCGAACAATTGAAAGGTCACCGAACAGAAAAAGAACCAGAGGTCATTGAAATACCCTCTGAGGATAAAAGCGTGACTCCAATCGAATGTGAGGAAGATACCACAGTACAGGAACAGGTTAAACCTGAAGCGAGTCAAAGGACATTAACTCCAGAAGAACGAGCCGGGAGTTGTCACCACGGTTACTTTGAGGATCCGTGCAGAGTGCAACCACAATGGGAATGCGCGGAATGTTGTGAAAATGCCTCTCAAGATGACCCTTCAGAATGGCCAAGATGTAATGCCGCATTAGCAGACCTTAAAGGTCATGCCCAAAAGAAAGCGAAAAGCATCATGCGGACAAACGAATGTGGAAACCACACATCGAACGGTATCATTGGAATAGATATCGAACGTGGTTGTCATGTGTGGAAAGTTTTATAATTGGAAGAGGCAGATGGCTAAACCATTGGTTGCAACGTGTCGAGAAAGGAATCCAAGATCCCCTTGATCCGGTAGCAACAGAAAGGAGATTTGAACGAGAGATAGAAGAGATGACCGAAGAAGGAGAAATGTGGGAAGAAGCGAGAGTTGACCTTTTTCTGGGACTTCCGTGTGAACCACATGTATAAAGGTGAAGGGAGAACGATCATCTTCCCGGCAGGACTTGGTACACCTGTCTACGAATCACTTGAAGTGTACTATAACGCGTTAAAAGAGGGAAACGAAAAAGTATTCGAGAAATACTGGGATAAATTTGAAAGAGAAATTCACATTTGATGTAAAAGACATGCGAGAATTACAAGTAACCCGGAAAAGAAGGTCACCGGGATTGATGCAAAAGAAAAAGGTGACCTTTGCACCAGATCCAGATGGAGGACTACCCAGAACGAGGTGGTGATACATGGTGCATGTATGAAACGATTCCGAATGATGAATGGGTCACCGAAGAACTGATGGCAAACTGCATCTTTGTTGGTCCTAAACGACCTAAAGGTTACGAAACAGTTCAACAGGATGAAGTCGATAAGGGGACACCAAAAGAAACAGAGAATGAGGAACCAGTTGAGATAGCCGAAGGACAATCGAATGAAACAGAAGAAAGTTCAAAGTCGGCTTTCGATATTGCGCAGATGTTAACGGACAGAGGTGAAATGTGGAAAAGGTTTAAAGAGGAAGTTGAAAGGATATCGAACGAACAACAAAACCCAGTAACTGAGGCAAAAAACGGGGAAAGGTCACTCGATAACGGTGAGGAATGTCCGCCGGTCGAGTTGACCGAAAAGCCATTAACGAGCCGCGAAGAAATAAATGAACTGGAAAAGTCAAAATCGGACGAAGAAAGGTCAAACTCCGACCAATCAGAAAGGTCACCAACGAGAATTCGGGTAGCAAGGAGTCACCCGAGAGTCGCTGCACGAAACGGGCGAAAGGCAAAGGAAGGGGACAAACCTCTGCTCAAAAATTCGAAAGCGAAAAAACTTAGCGATTCGCAGGAAAACGAAAGTGACCTTTCATCAGAAGACGAAGGAGTTGATGAGCGCCCACTCGAAAAAGCTGACAAAGGTCAAGCCACTGCACAAGAATATGAGAGCAGTAATTCGGATTCAGAGTGGACGAGTTCAAGTGATAACTCAACAACTTCGGAAGATTCAGGTGTAAGTGACCTTTCGGAGCAAGAGGATTTAATGGACTTGGATGAGGATGACGAAGTAGATGAGAAAAGAAAAGGATATTAAAGTCAGAAGATTGAAAGTGGAAAAAGCTAGAATGTCGAAAGACGTGATCAAAGTCTACAGCGACCAGCGAATCAAGTTGAAACCGTCAAACTGCACACGTGTAAAGGTCAAGATGGGAAAATATGCACCGGCTCAAAACAAGTTGATGTTTACACCGGTCCCACAAGTGGAAACTGAAGTGCAACCGTTGGCAGGAGTGACGGACCACAGGAAAATACTCGAAATCGTCATTGCAAATCACAGTAGCAAATACCGGATCGTGAAGAAAAATCAGCTTCTCGGCTACGTTGAGCCGTACGAACATATGGAGAATGTAAAGGTCAACGCAGGGACAGTAAAGAACGTACTCGAAGACCCTGAGGTGGACGATACAACGAAAGCTGAACTTACAAAAGATAATCGAAAACCTGAAATTGGGACCTGACCTTACCCAAGAGCAGAAAAACGACGTGTACAACGCGTTTTGGGAATTCTGGAAAGTCTTACCCACATCAAAGAAACCGTATGGAGATGTGAAAGGGGTCACTCACGTAATCGATACGGGAGACGCGAAACCAGTTAAATGCAACCCGGCCAGAACGAGTTGGACAGGCCGTGAGTTTATAACGAAGCATATCGAAGAAATGTTGGCACAAGATGTAATTGAACCGTCAGATGCCGAATGGAGTTTCCCAGTCGTACTGGCAATAAAGAAAAATGGCGACGGAACAATGGGAACCAAGATTTTGCGTCAATTACATCATGCTTAACAAGCTAACGAGAAAGAATAACTACCCGCTACCAAACCCGGATGAGTTGCTCGACGCGTGCGCAGGCAACAAATATTACGGAAAAATGGACTTACAAAGTGGATTTTGGCAGATCCCAATGGATCCAGCGTCAATCAATAAGACGACCTTTGTTACGCAAGATGGAATGTACCGATTTAAAAGGATGCCATTTGGCGTATGCAACGGACCAGCAACATTTCAATTGTGTATGGATAAAGTACTTTCGAAAGCGAAAAGAAAGGGTTGCGTTTTCGGGTATATCGACGACGTGATCTTCGCCGGAAAAACTTGGGAAATTTTCATGCAGAATCTGCGAAATGTTTTAATGAGTCTGGTGGAAGCGGGATTCACGATTAAGCCAACGAAATGCGAATTTGGAATGAGACAAATGGGATTCCTGGGTCACATACTCAGTGAAGATGGAATTCGAATGGATCCGGAAAAGGTCACCGCGGTCTCAGAGTTCAAACGGCCTCAAACAGAAAGGCAGTTAAGGTCATTCCTTGGACTGGCGAATTATTATCGCAAGTTCATAATGGGATACGCACAGAAGACTTGCCACTTGTATGAGTTGCTGAGACAAGATAAACACGTGAAATAGGACTGGACTGCAGTGCATGAAGAAGAGTTCAATAGTTTGAAGAAGTTGTTGTGTGAAGGTCCAGTACTGGCAAAGTTTGACCCCGCGAAACCGACCGTTATTGAATGCGACGCGAGCAAAGAGGGAATCGGAGCCGTACTGTCACAAGATGGACATCCGATCGCGTACGCCAGTCGTGTTCTACATGGAGCTGAAAAGAATTACGGTGTAACGGAATGGGAATGTCTGGCAGTAGTGTTCGCTGTCAGAAAATTCAAGCCGTACATTGATTATGCTGAATTCACCGTAAGGACGGATCATCAGGCGCTCACCAATTTGTTAAGGTCAGAGACGAATAAAGTCGGAATGAACCCACGCCTGACAAGATGGGCAATGGCATTACAAGGTCACCAATTTAAAATCGAATACAAACCGGGAAAATATTGTGACAACGCGGACGCGTTATCAAGAGCGCCAATTGAAGGTCCGACGTGTCACGAAGAAGAATTTGACGAGATTCCGAATTTCGAGGATTACAAGAAGGAGTTTGATACGAAGGAACCGGCAATTGAAGTTGGACAGCTGTTCCTGCAGATGGTGGAACAGAGGGAGAAACGATTAAAGGTCACTTCAGCTACGGCGAACGAGTCGGCTGAAAACGAAGCAAAAGTGAACCGAGTGAGAAGCTGGTTGCCCGCCGTTAGTGACTTAAAGGTCACCGGACTTGACGCGGAATCTCAAATGCAGAATGGAAAGGTCACGGGACTTGATGATAGAGCGGAGAATAGAGATGACCTTTGGGAAACGGACAAAGTGGCACAAGCGTTGAACGAATGCCCAATCAAACTGTTGAGATTCCCAAAACAGGCGAAAAAGCGGTATAAACCGTTACCACGATGCAAGGTCATCAAGGATTGGAATGAACTCAGTACAGCGACAGTTCGCATTGTCAACCTGCAAGGTGACGAAGAAGAGGTTGATGACTCAAACTTGCAATTGCGGAATAAACAGTTGAAAGATCCCCATCTGGCAATGATCATAGACGAACTGGAACACCTACCAGACGCGGAAACAAGATCGAAATTTGAAGTGCATTACCAGTTATGGAATGGTATATTATACCGAGTAAAGGATAAAAATGGAAAACTTGAAAGGTCATATGTGGTACCGTTGTCAATGCGAAGAGCGATAATCCACGCATTGCACGACGAGAAAGCAGCGGGACATCTGGGATTTGAGAAAACATTGTCAGCAATAAGACTCCGATATTACTGGGACAGGATGAGTACAGACGTGAAGAATTACATACTCGCCTGTCAAGGATGTCAGTTCCGTAAAACACCGAGGAAATGTCCACCTGGAAAATTGCAAGAGATTAAAGTGGGACATCCGTTCTTCCGAGTATATGCTGACTTGAAAGGACCTTTGTTACCGACGAAGAAACGTGGATACAAGTACATAGCGGTATTTATCGACCAACTGACGAAATACGTGATCGCGGTACCGATGAAGACAGCAACGGCTAAAGAATTCGCTAAAGTGTTCGTGAAGCACGTGATATTGGTACACGGAGCACCGCACATCCTGCATACGGATCGCGGACGACACTTTACAGCTGAAGTGTTGACAAAGGTCACCAATGTGTTTAAGATTAAACACACATTTGGAACGGCGTATCACCCAGAAGGTCAAGGCCAAGTGGAGAGACAGATGCAGACGATTGCTGATGGCTTGGCGCAATACCTGAAAGCGGGAAACGAACGAAAGTTTAACAAGTATCTCCCATACGTCATTTCGGCGATGAACAGAGTCGTGCACGCCACAACGGGATATTCAGCATACTATATGCTGCACGGCAGAGAAATGACAATGCCGGAAGATGTGGTTACAAAAACGAATATACCCGATGATTACGGAACTCCAGACGAATGGGTGGAGACCATGAAAAAGAACTTGACCTTTGCCGAAGAAGTGGCGAGATGTAACATCAAAGACGCATATGAGAAAAATGCGGAAATTTATAATAAGAAGAAATCGGAGCCGAATTTCAAGGTGGGCGATTTGGTACTTATACGACTTCCAAAAGATACTAAACAAGGAAAAAAGAAAACCAGTCGGATTTCAAGTCGAAGTACGATAAAGTGTGGAAAATTCTTAGCTTCCCGCGAACAAACGAAGCGGAGGTCATCGAGCAGAATCCGAAGAAGGAAGCGGATCTAAAAGTGGTTTCTATTGATCGGTTAAAGCCGTGGCATCCGCCATTACCCGACGAGAAAGATTCGCAACGAACGTTGAACGAAAAAGAAACGGAAGAAGCCGAGCTTGCTTCGAAAAATGGTACCAATCAATTTTTCGAACCACCTCTGCTACCTGAAAGGGAAAAAGTGGATAAGGGCGCAGAGCATACTCCTCAAAAAGAACCTTTTTTCGAACCACCTCCGCTACCTGAAATGGAGAAAGAAAACAAATCTACAAAGAAAAGAGGAAGAAAGAAGAAAGAGGATAAGGATTTCGAAACAGCAGTCACAATCAAGTTGAACGCGGAGGCTGGTAATTTGGCAGAAAGGTCACTGGAACAAGACAACGAACCGACCTCTAAAGTACCAGAGCGTACTTCCAAAAAGGACCTGCAACAATCCTTTTTCGAACCACGCACTGCTACCGAAGATAAGGATGACCTTTCGAAACAGCGTACGGACGCTGAGATGTCAGAGCGTGACCCGAATTTTTTCGAACCACGCACTGTTACCGGTAATGAGAATGACCTCATAAAAAAGAGAGAAGAGGAGATAGAAGCGGTCAAATCAAAAGCTGAACAATTGGGCCGTGATATAGCGAAAGCAATTAACGAGCGGAAAGCCAAACAGAAGAAAAAGAAACCGACCCCTACGGACTTATTGACCCAAAAAGGCGAACCTGAGGATGCAGCCGAGAAAGAACTTCTTGATCGGATAACTAAAGGACGAGAGAACAAATAACCACATAGACATAAATAAGGGGTCACAATAAATTAAAAATAGGAGTCGAAAAGGAAAAAGAAAGGTCACCACTGTGCAAAAAGTTAACCTTTATTGTTTCGTTTTATAGAAGGTAAGCACAGTTAATGGACAGATTGGAACGACAAAACTCGGATAATTCAGACTCGGAAAGTATTGGAAACCCACTAAAAGCATCTACACCTATAAGAATGGAAGGTGAATACGGTTATGACACCTCATATGGTGAAGGATCAACGTCGTCAGTGGGAACGGCTCAGAATGAACCTGGAACAAGTCAAGGAGGTTACTATGGCGGCCAGGGATATTACGTGTATCACGATCCAGGACAGCAGACGAGTTATCAGGACACGGTTAACTGGGTGCACCACGGCTCACCTGCCGGAACCCAGTATTCGGGACAAGTAACGGGCGCCCCGTATCAACCGTATCCAGGATCGTATACCCCACCGATGGGACCACCACAAGTAATGATGGGACCGGCAAGAATGTTGATGCCGCCACCGCAACAGACCACACCGAGTCGATTTATGGGACATGGTGGATTCAGCGGAACTCCACCACGATCACAAAGGTCATCTCCGATATTACCGCCTTTTCCGGAGACGGGAGGCTTGTCACTGTCGGATATCGGAGCGCCTCGCATGAGAACACCGCAGCAACTCGGAGCGCAGCGCCCTCATCGTAATTCGCCACACAGAGGAGGAAGGCGACCGAGAGGCATTCTACCGTCATTGGGTCCAAACTTGGACGAGACTGGACCAGATGGTTTACGGCTTACGCCTCCAGGTGAACCTTCAATACACGCGTATGCACCGAAGCTTCCCTTGGATTTGAGAGAGGACGATGCACGCTTAAATATCATTCCGGATAAGAACGACAAACTGACAGAAAAGGATTTAGAAGCTATCCGGGAATTAAACCGAAAGTGTCGTGAACTTTACCGAATTCATATGCGAGTTGAAGATGAACACGCATGGTATGGAAAGCTGATTAGCCTGGAAGCTGTCATCAAACCATGTCATATCGCGCTGAAGGAAAAGACGAAACTGATCGAAAAAGAGCGCAGGGAATACGCGATAAAAGTTGCGTCGATGTGGCAATACCATCCGTCGCTAAACGGTAGACCATGGCCTTCGACTATCGAAAAGATTCTTAGGTACCTTAAAGTGTTCCCGGAAGCGAGACAGATGCCGACTACCAGCGCCGAGGGACCATCTAAATCCATGGTTGAAAAAGACGCCCCAGTCGACGAAATGACAGATGAGGACCTTTTGGCAACAAAGAGAAAGATAGAAGCTGAATTAACTGAACGAGCAGAAAGGTCACGGGCCAGCTCGACCGCAGGATCAGTACGTGGACGCACTAGTTCGGTTACAGAACCATCTAGCGGAGCCACGAAGAGCGGAAAAAGAGCAAGGTCACCAACGATAAGCCCAAAAGAAACTGACAAGAAAGGGCAGCGAACAAAGAAGCCCACAGAAAGTAAAGCAACGCCAGCTGAGCCGGTAAAGCCACAGGCCCCGATTCCAGTGGGTAGAAAGAGTGTACCACCCACGCCGAAAGGAACGGAAGGTCAGATTCGATTCCCGAAGTGTAGAAGTTTCACGGCCAAGTACACTGGGGAAGATCATAGAGAACGAAAGGTCACTGCACGAATAGTCGATAAGAAAACGAACAAAGAGATTGACTCGTATAATCCCCTCGCGGATAGGTCAGTCAAGGATGCCATTGGAAAGAGTCAAAAACGATAGTCAATGAGGCGCTACAGTTTATTCCTCCAGAAGAACGTCATAACCCAAGAGTTATCGTTCAGATGATGAAGCACGTGGTATCTAAAGTCGCAACCGAAGAGGATGCATGGATCCGTATCAAAGTGGGCACAGATGATGACCACTTGGCATATACATATACAACGGATGGCAAACTGTTGATCAAAGAGAGAACTCGCTCAAAACCGACGGCGGATCCAGACCCGAAGAAACGATCGTCAGATGATTATGAGTCGGTCCTGAGATATACAGATGCGACAAGCAGAAAGGTCACCCTCAGACTTTTCGGTGGTAATGGAGAAGCTGTGGAAACCATAACTGCAGTGATAGTCGATCCAATAACAGGAGACCCGGTTCCATATGCCCCATGGGATGTGTCAGAAGAGAGCGCCCGAAACGCGAATCAGGCAGCGATTGAGCAGTTATGGGATCTGATACCTGAGAGCGACCGAACAGACGCTGTGGTTCAAGCGAGTACACTGATCAGCATGATGCGGCATCGAGCGGAAATCGATGGAGCACATTTCCGACTCACAAGACGAATGGAAGACGGATCGTACAAAACGGTATTTTACGACGCTAAGAAGAACCCTTTGTGGGAGGTCGCCTCACAGGGATCTCCGAAAGAGACAAGACACTTGGAAATTCATCCCCCGGCACAAGAAGGCGGAGCCGGAGAGACGGAAGAGGCGCCAGGCACGTCGGCAAATCTAACTGAAACCAGGAGGGGCCAGACGTTCTCTACAAAGAGTGTTAGAGATTGCCCAGGAAGTCATGAGCACCTTCAGTGTGATGAACCAAACTGTGGCTATTGTAATCCACCTGGTGACGACGAACCAGAGTCGGAAGACGAGGACCCACCTGAGGAAGAAGGCTCAGACGAAGAAACGGCCGACAAACATAAAAAGCCCTTAAAGGTCAAGCCCTCAAAAGTCAAACCGAGAAAAGCGCCCAGATTGGAAGAGGCCATGAACCGTGACAAGGTTAAGAAAGGCGATTTTCTCAAGAAACGACGGGAGGAAGAAGATAAGAAGAAACGACAGGAGGAAGAAGATAAGAAGAAAAGAGCGGTGATGAAAGCGATAGCACAAGCACCGGAAGAAGAAAAAGATGAACCAGCGTCTCATGATGTCGAGATATTGGACGAGTCAGTTGGCGAAGTTGAAGAAAGGTCATCGACACCTACGAAGTCAAAGAAAGTCATCCAATCAGCTACATCAAAAGCAAAGGTCACTGAGCCCGAGTCAAAACCCAGAGCAAAGGTCATAGCGGTGAAACAAGCTGTCCCCATTGTAATGTCCGCATCCACGATAAAAGAGCGTAAGGCCAAACAAGGTCGTGAGAAAGCGAAACGGGAGACGTCGCGTGAATCGGAGGCATCGGAAGTGAGCCTTCCAAGCACTTCGACGGTCAGTGCAAGGTCACATACAGATTCGAAAACGACACGATCAAGGACTACTGAGCCAAGAAGCTTAGCGGAGGCCTTGGATAAAGGGCAAAAAGCAAAGAGCGAGCCCGTTAAGACGAAAGGAAAGGTCAAAACAGCCATGAAAGTTGATGCAATGGCAATGATCAATTACGCTGAACCAGATGGAGAGAGCGAATTGGACTTTACAGAGGATGAAGAATTTGATGGTCCAGATGATGATAATTTGAACACGGTCGATGAAATAATCAAAGCGTATAACGGAGCGGAGAAGAATTTCACACGAATAAGAACAGCATCGGTGACATCCAAATTTAAATCAGGCCTGAAGACATATCTCAAGAAACAGCGTCGTAGCTTTACTAAACAGAAGTTTGACGTCGTACTGGAATTCGCACGGAACGCAGGAAAACTTATCCAGAAGCACCCGAGTTTCTCGTATGAGGCCAAGTTGTTCAGACCAGCCAGTTCGGATAAGGCGCTGACAACTCCGAATGAAGCGGTCCCAATGCGAGTGGAAAGGGCAATCGCGGGAATGACAAGCCCATTAGGATCAACGAGTCACCGGATTAGCCAATACATCAACGCAGTTTGGAACGACGGAAATGGAATGATAAAGGAGATCGACACGGCAACCGAACGCGTATTGCCAAAGTTGATTAAACAGAACGTCCTTGCCACGACAAACGCAAATAAAGGACACCCGATCCGATACACGAGAGTCGGTCTAATACCACCGGAAAGACAGATCCACTGTAATATGTCCGACAGTCAGGATATGGAAAAGGTCACAGTTTCATCGAAGACAAAAGGCCCAATGGACTCGGAATCGGGAAGTGATGACGATACTACAACAACGGCTCCTTCTGGACCTGCGACAGAAAAAGGCGAACAGTCGAAAGGTCAAGAAACATCTGGAACTACCGCAGAAGATCAACCGAAAGGTCATGAGACTTCAGATAAACGGGAGAAAGAAAAGGTCATGCTCCCGATGGATAAGGCAGCGGCAGAAGCTGAAGCGGATTCGGCGCGCCAGGTGTTTCACAAATCACTGTTCATACCATTAAAGGACGTCTTTGAGAAGGAACGATCGAAGTCGGTCGGCGATTTAAAAGGTCAAGAGACTTTGCCACAGGAGGAGAAGAAGACAGCCGAACCAAAATCGGCGGGGTCATCATCAGGATCACTGGCAAAGCTGAGGATCGACGAGACAGCGACGGCTGACCCAACGGACTCGACATCCTCCCAGAAAAGTAGCGGTACACCGGCAAAGGAGGCTACAGATTACATGTTAGGGCCGGCATTGGACGTGAATAATCGTACATGGAACGAAGTCCAGAACGCACTCCAGATTATTCGGGAGAAAGAAATGCTTGGGACAGACCTGAAAAGACAAGTGGCGATAAATACGAACGGAAGGTCGTCACTTAACATGACTGAACGAGTCTCTGAAACGAGCTTATAAGGAAGGAAAGTTGGGATGTAAATATAACAAGGACAACAAAGTCGTCTACTACCTTCCGAAACAGGGCACGGAACGAACGCCCAGACTGAAAATGGAACTGGAGGCCTGGAAGATAGCCATCACAGATGTGGCTCTGGACGCCATTGGCGGTACCAATGGAGCGTCATGGAATGACCTTTCAAACTTCATGGCCGTCAATTACGAATTGGGAGATTTGAATATTGAAAGCGATAAAGAGTGGATTAAGAATGCCGTTGAAGCCTTGATCGCGGACGAAGTGCTTCATATTAAGCCAGATGGCCGAATCGATTTCAAGCCGTATAAACCATCGATGAAAGAATCCGAGTGAACTAATCGAGTGTAATATGCAGCGAGTAATGAACCCTGCATATTACAGAAAAAGCATAAAACAGTTTAAAACGAAAGCGAAAAGTGTTACGAAAGGTCAACTGAAAGCAGTACTAGGACTAATAGAAAAGGTCACAGTAGTCAGAAAGTGCTGATAACGTGAGAAAGGTCACCACGTTACAGTGATAGAAAAAGGCAGCAGGAGCTAGGAAAGTCTCAGCTCAGTAACGGAATAGGCGTAAAAATGATAGAAAAGCCTTGATATGGATAGGAAATGGAAGGATTAACGTGGAAAAGTTAATATGACGGATTGTTTTGTAATTACAGATTGAAGCGGAAAAATGGCACAGAAAGGTCAAGCCACTCCTAAACGTACGGGAACGGCGGCAGACATCGATCGGTTTACGGGCTACAATCCAAAGTGTCCGGACTGTCTACGTAATAACAAAAAGGTTGATAAGAAATTTCCGTGCTACGCATGCATTCACAAGCTGGATGACCCACATATTGTCTCACTTGTTGGAGTCTCGGAAGCCAAACGCGGGAACCTGGATGTCTTCCGCAATCTGATAAGCGCAAGGAATTACGGCAGCATCCCAGTGGAAGAGCGAATGCTACTCGAGGATCGCTACTGGGAAGCGATCCGGAACAACGAACCTGGTTGGGATGACACCTTGGAGCCGTTGAAGTGTCCACAGACAGACGCGTATCGGAAGAAATTTGAAGAAGACCAAGCGAAGATGCGAGCTCAGCAGATGGAAGACGAAATCCGCGCGAAAATTAATGCGGAAAATAAGAGAGCAAGTGAACAGGCTGCACGAGAGGGGCTGCCCAGCACATCGAGTTTAGTTGCACCTACGGGCATGGCCAGCCTTAATGAAGACGAAATGCAACTCGTACGACAGTCGCTTATCATTCAAATTGAAACGTTAACGAAGGATCCAGCTGCTATGTCAGACGAGATATTCAAAATGCTGTTGCGGGAGAAGAAACGACTGCAAGACGGGTTCGCGCCGGCACCATACATAAAGAAGGAAGTCGAAAGACGTATGGATGACCTACGTAAATCTCGCCGAACCGAAAGCGATGTGCTGCAAGCACTCAGAAGCTTCAAACGGGATGAAGGCTTCATACGGCCACGGTCGCCTCCGCATAGAGAAAGGTCACGCGGACATTCACGTGAACATGAACGGATTTCTGAAAGACGGAGCGAAAGGTCACGTGAACACTCTCGTGAAAGGACACGTGACTACCACCGTGAAAGGTCACGCGAACGTTCCCGCGACAGGGATTACCGCGGCGGAAGAGGATGGGTACGCCACGGCGATGAAGTAACAGAGATGAGCATTCAGAGGAAGATCGACACAACGAAGTTACTGGCAGCGACCAGAGAACGTGAAGACAAACGGCGTGCGGAGACATTCCGTACAGAACCTGAAAAGGAAGGACATCAGGTGCCGACGGAAGTTGCTTTCCGTAATCGTAACGTCAGGATGTCAACACCCGAAAGGTCATGGGATAAAAGACGCGAACATACGCGAAATCGAACGCCTGACCCACGCGATAAAAGATGGCAACAGAGGGCTGCATTCTACGCGACCTTTGACTCGGGCGCAAATAAAAGGTCATCAAGCACTGAACGGGAAGATTCACCCCAAAGTATCAGCGGGTGGAGTCAGTGGTTCATGTAGTGGATCCCATCGTGAGTACCGTACAAGAAGATGACGCGATGGAAGGTACTGGCTCAGTTGTCGAAACCACGTCTCAAGAGAATGTGACTCACCGACGAAATGTAATCTTGGATAGTGACCTTCAACCGGCTTCATCGACGAGTAATGAACCGTCGCAGCCAGCATCAGCAGACCGACGCGAACTGGAAGGTCAAGGCGAACCGGATAATCGTCGCCAAGGGGATCAGCGATTAAACTCCAGATTTAATAACCGACAACCAGAAAGTATTGACATGGAATATAAGACGACTGATATCGATGAGCAAACGGTCGAAATTTGTCGATACTTTGGACTTGAGCCGGATTCGGTTGAAGCCAACAAAATTGGCACAATTCTGAGACAGTTGAGCCAATTTCTACTTGACTCGGGTTATGCGAGAGAGATTAAACAAGGAGTGGAACAAGGACTTTTCCGTCGGTTATTCATTCCTCGCGACTCCGCGCGAGATTGTTATCTCCCCATCCGACGAAACGGATTACACAGTTTGTTGGATTTGAGTTTATTGGATGTGCCATTGGACACGACTGACCCAGTCGGTATGACACAATTCTGGTACACAGACTACGATGAACGACAGGAATATGTGGCTCAGTTCGTTTTACGACACGTGAATCCGGCCTTCAAGTTGCTCGCAGCTAGAGCATCGATTGGACTACAAGTGGACCCGAAAGACTATGCCGCAAAAAGGATGGGGCAAAAGGTCTTCGCCGCGAGACTGGCACATTATAAGACACAAAATCAATTGGTGTCTAATACAATGAAGGACGATATCCCGGCATTTTTCCGGCCTCATGTCGTTAAGTTGGGAGAACCTATGGAACATGTCGGCATAGCCCACACGGCTCGGAAAGCGTTGAAGAAGTGTAGAATACGAATGGAGAAAGGCAATCTTACAGCGCGCCATGCCTCCCAAGTCGAAGAGCGGATCAACCGGATTAAAGATACCATGGGAAGTGACTACGTCGAACCAGTGGACGGAGTAGACGTCTACATCAACGAATTTCTGGTGAATAAAGGCGACCGACGCCCAGAACGCGCCCCTAACCAGATAGGACGACGCGGCCTAAGAAACCAGCGACTCCGCGATAACCTCGCTGATGTGCAACGGCGACTGGCGGACGACCCTAATAACCGAAGACTGCGACTGGAAGAAAATGACGCACGCCACCGGGTAGAGGCGGTTAAACGCAGTCGCCAAGGGAAAGGTCGCGGTCAGCGAGAAGTTGACCCGGAAAAGGTCATAGCAGTTGATTCCACGGAACCAGTTGACCGAACGTCTGACCGCAATCATCCAGAAAGTTCCAAAAAGCGCCAGCCGAGAGACGGCGAGGAGGGCGACTCAAATGAAATGGAATAGTGCTGATCGTTAGGATCACACTATTAAAAGGACGTCTACGGCATTTGTCGGTACGTCACAAGAATGAGAAATGAAAATGGTGTTGTATAAGGGCGACGTGACATATTAACATTAACTGCATTTGTGTATTTGTTGTTTTCAGCGTTTATAGCACAGAATCGCAAAGGATAAAGAAATCATGTGGAGCAGCGATTGGGGTTTAAATTGATTCGGTCTATAAAGCCGGCCCCAAGGAGTTGCTACGGCAGTCAGCCGGCTCTCCTCCTTAAGCGACTCAGTGTTATAAATTAGCAAGAGAAACTACGGTAATCAAGCCGGATCTCTTGAAGACGAAGATGGGGCCATAAGCGGCGAAAAGAGAAAGACAACAGGTGGAAATATTAATGGGGTTAAATTTGATTCGGTCTATTAGCCGGCCCCATCAGAGACGCTACGGTGTACTATGCCGGCCACTCTCCTTAAGCGATTCAGTGTCAAAACTTAACGAGAGAAATAACGGTAATCAAGCCGGATCTCTCGTACGGAAGCTAGACACAAGCGGCGAACAAGAGTAAAAGATTTAATGTGGAAGCGTCATGGGGTAAATTTAATGCGGTAGTTAGCCGGCCCCATCAGAGATGTTACGGTAAACTCTGCCGGCACTCTGGCCGCTCGAGGCATATTGAAGTTGGATGTGCGACGGAAAGGTCAACTTAAAAGTTTTACCAGGGGGCAAGCGAAGAAATGCTTGAAAGTCGGCAAAAATCGGCTAAGTTCCTCCATGACCTTTAATGGAAGTTTGAAGAAAAGTTGGATGACCCTTGGGATCATTACCGCCCAAGAGTCACCGTACCGGAATTCCAGTCGCATGACCTTTTGGGACCATTAACCCATAACGAGTCGCACATCTCAACGGATCATCTCAACAAAGGATGACCTTTATCAGGGAGGAAGCGAACTACGCTTGTCTTAACGACGTCCCTCCATGACCTTTATGGATCTCATTTTGAAGTCGTACAATTGATACGCACCATATTCCAAAGATGAAGCAGTATTCCTAAGTCGTACTTGATACGCACCCGATTCTCAAAGCGGATTGTGATGGAAGTCGCACTACGGATGCGCAGAATTGCTCAACCGAGCGGAATGGGCCAAAGTGCGGAAAACGGTGGACAGGACCTGTGACCTTTACGAGTCAGAAATGGAGGATCCTAGTCTACATTTGATTAATACTTTTGTTGATCTTATAACTGTTGATCTGTTTTGTATTAGAATTGATATGGAATAGTATTTTAATACAGATCTCTTTATTTCACATTGTGCATTTGGAATTATGTGATAAATGGAATAAGAGAATTTGATGTTTTCGAGCACGCACAGACACTGGCGACCGTCTTTTCGTGGATTCGGGAGTGTGTCCAGCCTCACAGGAGCTCGGCATCCCCCCAGAGGCATGTGAGACCGGGATCACTAGCGTTCACGTCAGTGGCGCTAGGCGCTACGCCTTTGGATTATGGCCTGTGTTGTGTCTCGCTTCTGATTGGTTTGTGTTTTGTCAGTGGGCGCGGCATAGCACGTGCTGCACAGCGTTGCACGCTGTTGAATGGGCTCCACGCTTTACGATCGAGCTGCGCCGATCAGTGTTGATTTTCTGTTGTCGGAATTTTCAATATTATTAAAAGTCAGCGATTACGGTGCGACGTTTTGTGTTTCCGCATAGCTCGCGACCCAGATCGTGTCGCTCACTCCACGGGATAGATTCCGTTTCTGTCTCCGTCTGTGGATCCATTCTGGATCTACCATTAGATGAGCTTATCACGAAATCGCCAGGCAGTCCGCAAGATCCGTATCTGCCAGTAAGCGGCGAATTTATTGGAAAAAGACAGTGGCCTTTTGTGCAACATGGCTACAGTTCACTACGATTGGTCGCTTTCGTGTTATTGCCTATTGAGCAACCAGCTTAAATTTTTAATCAGTAGTAACCGGATTTCCGAATTCGTACAGACTGTATCTGCACGGAGTGCGCGGCGCAGGAGTACGTTTTATTTTGCGCCTATCAGGCCGCTTTAAACGAAATCCAGTCACTATTGGACGGAAAACGGGGTGTGTCCGCTAGTTGCTATTTGTCACCTTTCCTTTGAAAAACGGTTTTATATCAATAATGTCAATATTTCGCCTTTTATTGTAATTGGCACAGGGTCACAATAATTAATCTACGTTTATTAATGTTCACCCAACTCCTTAAAAGAAAACAAATCAACAAAAACAATCTCTCCCAATTCCCAAGTTTAATGTAAGTTGGCACATAATTAAAATTTTATACAGTACGTTAATAAAGGGACCCTAAATATCGTCCATTCCACAAGGCACGCCACGTATATATAGCCTTGCATTTACGGTTTCGAAACTTTACAGTATCTGCAATTTCGAGTGCAATCAGGCATCGTGAAATAACGACGTGAATCAGAAAATCATTACACACCGTACACTCAAATACCATTAAGTCGCCCAAGTGTTGTATTTCGATAATAATTGAATTATCTCAGGTCGAAAGCGTGTAATTTCAAATAACGAAGTGGTAGCATAGTTATACTACTAGTATTACAGACTCACAGACCTTGTATCAATGGGTAAAAATACAATCATAAGCTTGCTCGTATACTTATTCGTTGTTGTTGTATTGGATGGCGAAATAATGTCTTGCCTTTATGCAGTACAAAAATTTCCCGCGCTATATAACATAATGTGCTTGCGCTGTATAATTCAAAAATTATCTTGCAAATTCTGATACTTTTATCTGCATTTATGCATTGAACATGGCCCAATAAATTATACATCATCTTCCCGTTCCAGCAAAAACTTAAGGCCGTACCGAGAGTCGAACTCGGGTCGACGGATTCAAAGTCCGACGTGCTAACCACTACACCATACAGCCGTGTTGTTGTTGTATGGTCAAACGCTAACACAGCGTCAAAGTGTCCGTTATATGTTGTTTTAAAGTGGTCTACTTGACAAAAGTGCCTGAAATGGCAGTTTTGTCAAACACTCTTACAATCACGATCATTAATTTTACAGTGGAAATACGATGAGTCGTACAAAGCGGGTAAAACGTAAAACATAATATTGGTCATACTCAGTATACATGAGGAGTATACTGAGGGTAGATTTTAAAATTTGCCAGCAGAAGAACGATTAAGTATCGTCATGGTATTCTTAGGTTTTCTTATGTATTTTTGGAGTTGGAAATACGTAAAAGCACGACACGAATCCCAGTGGAATTTTATTCCAGTTTGCGCTCACATTTTTCAATAGTATTCACTTCCTGCATACAGTACATACTTAGAAAACAGCCGACGTAGAAAAAATGTTGATTACGCTCGTTCTTCGCCATAATGTTTTTCCACATATCGCAGGAGACGAAATAATACGGCCTTAGTCTCATTCAAAAAATGCAGTACGAGTGCCGAAGCCATAAGATTTCGAAATCTTGTTGAAGTTCAATTTGTACGAGTTGAAGTTCACTCGTACATGCGTTCGATTCGAGCAGCCCGCGTTCGATCACAGAAGACACAGATCAAATATTTGATTCAGGTTGTCATGCGATAAGGTCACTGGATACTGTCTTCAGGGTCCTTGTTATTACAAGTGCGAACTCGATCCCAAAAAATTAATTACTGTTGACGACAAAGCTGTATAAAAACGCCACACGCAGTTAATTGCGTTTGCTGGATGGCATTCTCGCCTGATATGACGGCATACGTTGCCTCGTTAACCATGAATAACGAGACACATTTTCTTAAGAACACCAACACCAGCAGTGTGACCTTTAACCACACCGCCATCAACATTACCTTATCCGCAGCGTTGCCGTTAGCACAGCCATCTTTTCTGCTTTTAGCAGTCCGCATCGCCATCACAACCGCTTCGTTATGCCTCAACGCGGGTCTCCTAATTTTCCACGCCATCAAACCAGCCTTCATCACCGATTTCACCACATACCTCTTATTCCTGTATCTAGCTAACGTCATCTACTTGATAGGCGACCAACCCCTCCTCTTCTGGAGCGAAATCGCCCACCGGGATATCGGTTCCCTGGGGCGGTCGCTCTGTACCTTCTCCAACTACTTTCACCGCGTGGCCAGTATCGTGCCGCTGATGTGCCACGTGCTGGTGGCCGTCAACCGCCTGTGGGCGTTGCGTTTCCCGCTGCACTATCGGCGCCGTCACACGCGGCGGGTTGCGCTGCTGATCTGCCTGGGCATGGCCGGGTACGTGCACGCCTTGACCCTCCCGCCGTTCTTCATCTACATGCCGTATCGGTACCAACCTCTCACCGAATTCTCCGGGATTTGCAGGGACGCGTTTATCCCGAATTACGCGTCATGGGCGCGGATCGACAGCATCATGAACCGGTTTATGCCGCTGATCGTCATAATTCTGATTTACATTTATTTGATTGTCCAGCGTTGTGTAGGACGCAGCCAGGTGGAGAGCGCGAACAACAGCACGAATCGCACGTCGACCACACGCGGGAACGCGGATCCGGACGCTACGGCATCGCTCAACCGCCCGGTTCGGCAGCAACGGTTGCACCGCAAAGTGGTGCGGCCGTTCTTAGTGTTGACCTTAACGACCGTCGGGGTTATTGTATGCTGGCTGCCGTTGGATATTATCTTTCTCTGCCAGCTCGTTCTCAATCTTCCCGTTCCACCCGCGGTGGTGCAGGCCTTTCTTATGCTGTACACGCTGCAGTTGCTGTTTGATCCGCTCATGTGGATCTGCAGTCTGCGTCGGCGAAAAGCGTAGCAGTTTTGACTGATTCTTAGTTAGCCCCTTGCCGCTTATTTCTGCAGTGTCTACAGTCTAATTTTTAACCGATTTGCGATGAATATTTATTATATACAGTCAAACGCATATGGATTCGCTTTGGCATGCGGTTCATGCATTATTGGTACTTCTATCTTTGAAAGGCATACGACACTGATTGGAGCAGCAGTGTCGGTACTCGGTAATACATTTAAAACGGGCGGGTAGATTTTATTTCTCAGGGTCACGTGCATAAAAACGGACTGAGATTATTTACAGTTTACTCTTCCGTGTCTACTGTTTCCTTCTGTTGTCTGTACACCCAGAGTCAAATGTCTAATTAAACACGGCACGAATCAAACCGAATTACTCAGACATATTCCATAAAGATGCTATAAAATTTACACAGTTCCGAGGTTTGCATGCCTAGGATGTAATGATATGCGTAATATCGTGTACATACTCTGTATGTTCAACTCATATTGGAAGGTCCACTGCCGCCGAAATCGGTACCGAGCACCGGTTATTAACACACAAACTGCAAGTGCAGAGTGCTTCCACAGGCCACATTTACTGCACGAATTTATTTTGTAAATAATTTTTATTCATGTAATTCCTGTAATTTCGGATATCAAATTCACTCATAGATTTCGAAAATGTTAATAAGTGAAATTGTTAATGGAAACGAGCTTTACGACCAGCGCCCAATAGAAAACTGTATTTTAGTCACTGATTTTAATTTAATTTCAATTTAACTTAGATTTGATTTATATAATCTCTTTTAAGAATCTTTTATTTTTGCCGATTAAGTCTTTGCTGACGAATACAGATAGTCGTGAGTAGCAAAAGTTTACGATAGCGTCGCTTTTGAATTACGTACTGTACGTGCAACGGGTTTTTAGAAAACCATAGTTATTTAAATTTAAAATTTATTAAGTTATTTTCGACTTAAAATTTTAAGTCTCAGTAGATTTAGACGGGCGTCTCGCATCGGCTTACTTTGACCTGTTTCCGTGGTGACGGCAGGTTTTTGCACGACGAGGCTCGCTACCTGCACTTGGGTGCATCGTACAACAATGCTAATCATGCTGCAACCATGCCCTTTCCGTTTATGGTCCACTTTAAGCGCCGTCGATCACAGTTGACGGCCAATCGCTACCGACCTTGCACACAGAACGGTCAGTTCCTTGATGACCTACAGAAATCCCGCGACAATCTAGAACCAAAAAACCTTGATTTCCACAGGCGCTCTCTACAAACTCCCTACGATGGATTATTACTGCGCCACGATCTGGAACCACGAATTCGTGAAGCCAAAGAGATTCTCAGCAGACTCAAACTTCACGTTTCCTCGGCTGATGTTCCGCCAGAAAACAACAGCGAGGAAAAGAGTGCCTATATGGGAAATCTGTTGGTGGTGTACGATACATTCGACAGACTGGAAACCGCGCGTCGCAGCATTGCTGCACAGATGCTGGAAGAGAAACATCTTCTGGAGAAATCCAAGCAGCGATTTCTTCGCACGCGGACGGATTTACTGCGGAACATGACGAGCAAGATGCATGCAGGTTGGTAAGCACATGTTCGATCGTCGATTAACAGCGTTCTATTTTTAATAATTTGATTTCTATCGGGCACTAAAATTAAATTGTGGAATTTGTTCTACAAGTTTCTCAAGAGCCTGGTAAATGGATAATTTTGCGTACAGTATTTTGAAACTAAAAAAGCATAAAGAAAGTTTATTACTGACTTATGTACTTCCTTAAATACGTATGTGCTTAATGTCATGCTTTTATAGCATGTGCGACGTATAGCGCGGATTACGAGGAGCTCGTCAAGCATCGCCATTTTCTCGAGAAAGAAATCCTTAAACTGGAGCCAAAAATTGAGACTGCCGAGCGATTCAATCAGGCACTGCTTGGGCAAATCAGCTACGTCAGAAATTACGGGTAAAACCACTAATGAGATATTATGGATGTAAATCTTACAGTTGCATGATTTTAATTTTCAGAAATTACGGGTAAAATCACTAATCACGTATTATGCATATTTTACTTATAATTATGTATTTTTAAATTTTTGTAGGCCACTGATCGCTGAAAAACTACATTCAGAAGAGGAACAGCTGCTCCTAATGCGCCAGCAGAAAGCCGAGGTACTACATGTCCAGTAAGTGCATCCCCATCGTTTCCTTGGTTGTCGTCTCGTTCGTTCAGACAAATGCATATGCGGACGATTATTTTTAGCTGGAATTAAAGATGGATACATTAGCTGTGAAACTGGAGGAAGCACTTCGAACGCAGGACCGTGGTCGCGACAGTATGCGGCGCAAACGGTCATTGGCATACGATGAGCTGGATACGAGTCAGAGAACCGTTATCGAAACCCGGTAAATAAATCTTGAAATTTATGTGTTATCAATAATCACAAATACAAACTGAAATGTTTTATTAGTGACAACGCAGCAAAACGTCGCACGGAAATCCTCCAATGGGAAGCAAAGCGTGATGGCCTTTCCGAAAAACTCCACAAATTACAGATCAGTGCGTCGTCATTGAAGCATCTCGTCGACCAACTGCAATCCATCATCGCCGAACAAAAAACCGCCGCGGAAACCAACCTGACCTTTCTCCAAGATGAACTGGTCCGCTACGAGGAAAAACGCGAACGCGAAGACCAGGAAGAATTGGCTGCGTTATTGGCCAGCGGCGCCTCGGAGACCTCGCTACCGGCTCACTTGGCCAAAAAGTACCTAACTAAAGAACAACGTTTAGAGCGATTACGCAAACGAAAAGTTCGACGCCAGCGAAAGGAGAAACAGTTGGAGGAGAAACAGCAAAAGCAGACCAAGACGCTGGAGAAGAACACGGCCAAGATGCGAGCCATTATCAGAGAGGCCAGTGAACGTATTGCCGAGATGCAGCAGGAGCGCTTAAGTCTGGATCCGCTGGTGGACCGGTTGAATGTCTTAGAGGAGACCTTCCAAAATGAGATTCTGGAGAAGGAAGAGATGCGGATGTCGTTGCACGGTGAGATGCAGCGGAAGACGGAGGAGCTGCATGAAGCGCAGCAAAAACTGGAAGCTCTGCAGAGCTCTTTTAAGGTTAAGAATTTTGTAATGACCTTTACCGAATGCGACCACGGAAATCGAGTAACTTCATAATAAATTTAAAAACCAAAAAAGTTTTAAACCTTTTCTCAGAAAATATAAATTAAATAAAAAGATATAATTCAAAGACTACATATTTTATTTATATAAAATTATATATTACATATTTTTATGTATTTCTTATACATAAAATACATAAAATTTTATGCATGTACTGTTAGTACATGAAATAAATACGTATGTACGGTACATAAACTACTGTACACGAATTACTACAGAAGGTTTTCACCGGTTACATAATTTTTGGTTCTGCAAGAAACTAAAAATCTGTCTGGAATATCGTATTATATTATTACCAGGCAAAACTGGACAACAAGCGCCGAGAACTGAATGTTGTCCGAGCGAAGCGAATCCACCAGGAAAAGCTTATTAAAGAACTGACAAAGAAAGACGCTAAGCAGCGGAAGCGCCTTACATCGCAGCTTGAAAAGGTTGGATTATAAAAACCATCAACTTCACACTGAGCGTAACATCAAATGATCCGTTTTGTTCAGGCGCAATCCGAACTGGAAATCGCGGTCGAGAAAAACCAGATTGCCAAGCGTAAACACGAAACCATACAACAGCAAAACGCTGACACCGAAGCGGAACTGAACGAACTGAACCTCGCCATTAAAACTGCTTACAATTTAATCCCCGGAGACGAAGCGCAACGGCGAGCGTTAGAAGAGGAGCTTAACATTAAGATTTCTACGTATACACACGATCTGCACCGCCGTTACGAATTAATTCAAGACAAAGCCGATCTCTGCGCGCAGTTTACAAGAGAGATCGCCGCGATGCGGCAAGATTACCATCAAACCGTGGCCGAGCTGCGCCGGTGGGTGTGCGTAGAGATCGCGGATGAAAAGATGCGGTTTTATAAAGCGTTCAGCGGATACCGCTTGTTGATGTGGCATTACCGGCGTTTTATGGCGGTACGGGAGTATCTGGTGCGATCGGCCAACGAAGCGCGGAGAGCGGAGCAGGAGCGGGTGAAGGAGTTCTGGCAGGAGGCGCGCCAAGAGCGAACCAGTTTAGCCGCGACGGTGAAGGAGAACTTCCGCGTGGCGAGACGGTTCTACCACCTGAATGTGGCGTATCATATTCTGCATATTGAGAATATTCGTGGATACTTCCGAAATTATGCAGCGGACGATAATTACCAAAGCGCTGTCGAAGTGAGTGATTTGTTACTGTAGTGGAATTTTCGCTTTTCGGTTAATGCTTTTCAATCTGGTTAATTTATTTTGATTTATTTTTCTTAAGTTCTTTCACTAATTCCATTTATTTTGCTTTTTGTAATTTCATTATACTTATTTTAATTTTTTTCAGCTTTACTTCTGATTCTTAAATTAGCTTTCAATGTTTTTATTTCCTTACGTTACTATTTTTACAGAATAGTTCAAATTTAGTTTAAATATTTTGAATTTTACAAAAAAAATGAAATCTAAATTTTAAATTTTATAAATTAAAATAGTTTAGATTTTACAAAATAATTTAAAATAATAATTAAAGTAAAAACAAAATTGGTTTTATACGCTATAATTATTATCGTCTACAGATTGCGTCGGCCGATAAACTGTACAACGTCAACATCAACGCAGAGCTTGCCCAGCGGCAAAAGTACTGGACGTGGACACTGTCCACGTACTACAGTCACTTCATGCAATATCTACAGAATATTGTCGATACGCAAGAGCACACACTGCAGTCATCCGATCGGATCTGGGAGAAGATGAACAGCGATGTGGTACAGAGGCAAAATATTACTGTTGATGAGAGTGTGAAGCGGTTGCTGAACGATGACTTCCGTGCCGGCTGGAGCTGGCTGCATTCGCCGCCCGAAGCGGGTGATGGCTGCCGGTGGAGTAATGAAGACTAATATTACGTAATGTTGTTAATTATGTTATGTTCTTTGTACAAGTGCATGAAAGTACATTTGTATTTGGAATCGATGGGGAGCGATTACACTAATGAGCGGCAGATTTGTTGTGATCAGAAATCTGTGAAACTCAAAAGTAGCGAAAAAATTTATACAAGGTCATTATGGCTGCGTGCACGGGTGACCTTCCCGAGTTGACACTCTTCCCCTAATACATCTACCGCGTTTTTCTCTCATCTAATTTCATTAAATGACCATTAGGCGCTTCGTTTCCGCCGCTATACTCCATCCCAAAAATCGGCTTCAAAAATAATATTTTAAAAAACATTTGAAGTACTTTAAAAGGGAAAGAATTTGCCCCGTGCGGCGTGCGCACAGCCAAAGCCCGTTCTCGAAACCCGTGCACGCAGCCAGCGCCTAGCTGTGTTTTGCCGTACACGCAGCATCGACAAAATTTATGTGGTTGAAAAAAAACACGTTACCATCCTTGGAATTCTGTCGCTGAGAAAGTGTTGTTTGAAAACATCCTCAATAATGTTAAATGATTGAGCTTGAGCAGACTTTAAAGGAAATACAACTGTGGTGGAAGAATACCAAATATCAACTGGAAATTATTTTTGCTGTTGTATCCACTTGCCGTGAACACCGGCTGCGGTTCTGCATAGCAACGAATGCTGCTTGGAAATGACCTTCTCCAATTAAAGCATTCAAATTTATTTCTTAAGGGCACTGTAGCCGCAGACTCGTAATTTGTTGTAGTTAAACTTTATTATTTTAACATCATTTACTATGAGTGATATTCTGTAGTTAATTACTGTACCCTTACCCTGCACTTGAAGGAAATTTGTACGCTATGAGCGACACGGTGCTGTATAGCCGGATAAACATTCAACCAATTCACGTTTAAACACGCACTAGCTGCAAGCCTCGTATGTGAATGGTGAATAGGCTCGTACAAGTGCGTGTGGCTGCACTGTACAAATTTTCCTTCAAACTGTACAAACTTCAAGTGCAGGGTTAGGAATGACTCAACTTAGGATACAGTACAGTTTAAAAACTCTGTTGTAACTGTTGCACTGTAGTATTATCACTACACTCCACTCGGTCCATTGTACTGTAGCCGCCCGCACAAGTTGCTCCATTGGCAGATCCGGCCGCTGCCTTCTCCCTGCACACTGCGCTGAACAGCGAGCAATGTGAGGCCAAATATCCGTATACCTCACTCTGTGGGGCAACTTGTGCGGGCGGCTACAGTACTAACAAGTCAGCAGCATGCAGCACTCATTCGCAGCCGCCGTCCTTCTGCTCCTGTTGTCCATAGCCAGCGGCCCGACGACGGCCCAGTTAACGGGTTCCATGGGCTCAACAGCCCTGGCCTACCTGCATCCGACCGCAATGGCTGCCCGCCTGCGGCGTGCCGACGAGAGCACAGCGGCTGGCCATCCACGCCGCGCTCGCTGCCTTTGCTACGTGTTCCCAGCGTGCTGCGGGGACGGCGATTGGCCGACAATGCCTTATAATTATTACTACTGGGGCTAGCCTGCAAACACCTGCAAGATCCCCTACGGTCTGCATGCATCGTAGCTAGTAGCCAGAGCTGTGCTTCTGTATTTATTAGTTTGCAAAAATTAAAATAATTAGTTGAATTGTAATAACCGTCTCTGCAATCTGCATGATAATGTTGTAAGACCTTTAATAAGTATCACACGCTAGTACACACTTAGTACTGAAACAAAAAGAATATTCATAGCAAAAACACTTCCTCAATGCTATCCTGGTCGGGAATTGTACCCATCACACATATTGCGTTTCCTCTCTGTATTTGAATAGATAGCCGCTGCCTAAAAAACTCTTTCGCTCGTTTCTGGCCTGTTGCAGCAGCTATCCCGTTTCCAACCGTATCCACTAACGTCTTAGTACCACATCCCCATGGCCCGTAAATTTCGAACGCTGCTGCCTTGAGGTTGTACCGAGGTTGCAGCCAGGCGTGTTTTGTCAGCTTCGCCCTTTCCGCTTGTTCAGCTGCTGCTCCGACGTTTACAGAGGTACGGTCGATATACGAGGCGGCGAGTGTGTCGACGCATGTTACATCCACGGCCAGCGGTTTTCCGCGCTCCCATGGTACCAGAGTAATCACATCCGGCCTTTTCTTATCCTTCAAAGACAGACCCTTTGGCTCTATTCTCGCAGGAAAACCTGCCGTTTTCAGTCCACGGGCGATCTCCGCGCTTATGCCGTCGTGTCGTCGCAGTCTGCCTGCTGACCGTTTACATCGGAGCCCGTGCCGCCCCAGTTCATCCACCAAGCCGCCACATACGCACACGTGAGGAGTAACAATTGGAGCACCCAGTCGCAGCGCGACGCTTATGCGGAAGGCATTGTTCTCCAGAAGATTACCGAGACAAGCTGCCGGTAATGCATGAATCCACACACCTGATTCCGGGACTGATACTGCTTTCAGGTGGGCGATTTCCTCCTGTGTGGTCCTTATGGCTGCCAGTCGGGAAAAGGCATGTAGCGTCGCAGGTGTGTCCCATGCTTTCTGGACGTGGCGGAACGGGAGGGGCGGAAGTTCATCTGTATCAGTCGTCAGTTTCCAGGCATGCGTGGCGGCGGACACATCCGTAGCCGTTAGCTTCGGGCAGAGCTTGGAAATGTTAAATTATATGTTAGTTCATTGTCCATGGTGTCGGTAACGGTAATGGGAATCATGCAAAAAGTTCCCTAACCTGTTATTCCAGCAACAGGAGCCTATAAAAAATTCCAAATATTCGAATAATTATTATTCCAGTAATTATATGAATATTTGAAAACATTCAGGCACTAACATTTATGTACAGATATTTAGAGCAAATGCCATATGAAGAGAAATTTCAAAATTCTTCTGAAAAGCCTGTAACTGTTAAGTAGTTATAACTTTAAAATTACGGTGAAACACTAAGATAAAAGTTAATAACCTATTGGACAACAACGCCTTCCGTATAAGTGTAGCGCTACGTCTCGGAGCACCAATAGTTACTCCCCATGTGTGTGTTTGTGGCGGACAAGTCGATGAATTGGGCCGGCACGGGCTCCGATGTAAGCGGTCAGCCGGAAGGCTGCCATGGCACGATGGCATTAGCGCGGAATTCACCCGCGGACTGAAGACCGCCGGTTTCCCAGCGAAAATGGAACCAAAAGGTCTCTCAGTGAAAGATCGCAAGAGGCCGGACGTGATCACTCTTATACCCTGGGAGCGCGGTAAACCGCTGGCTATTGACGTGACCTGCGTTGACACACTCGCTGCTTCGTATATCGACCGCACCTTTCTTAACGTCGGAGCCGCTGCCGAGCTGGCGGAACGGGCCAAACTGATCAAACACGCCTGGCTTTTAGCACGATACAACCTCACAGCGGCAGCGATTGAAGTTTACGGACCATGGGGGGACGGTACGAAATTGCTCGTTGACAAGGTTGGAAACGGGATAGCAACCGCCACGGGCCAGAAGCGGGCGAAAGGGTTTTTTAAGCAGCGGCTATCTGTTCAAATTCAACGAGGAAATGCTATATGTGTGATGGGTACAATCCCCGATCAGGATAGCATTGAGGAAGTGTTTTTCTTATGAATTTGTGTTGTTTTGAGTACTTAGTTAGTACTTACGAGTGATACTTATTAAAGGTAGTAAAAGAAAGTTAATGAGCGATGGTCGTTTAGGTGAAACACCCGAAAATTAAATAATAAATTTATATTGAATATTAAATTCCACAAACCGATTTCCGTCCGATTTTTTCTTTCCCCGATTAGGCTGGGTGTGACCTTTACAAATTCACCGTGGTATCATCATGGCATCATGGTAAACACGGAAATTTGTTCGCTCACTGGTAGTTTCGCTCTCATTTCCTCCTCATCGTAAGCAAAACTAAAGTGTGAGCCGATGCTAACGTGGCAAGGGTGATACTTTGCGTGGGCTGCGCTTTCCGATTGGATTTGTGCGCTTATACATGTATGTATAAAGAAAACCATCGCTAACCACACGGTATCCGATGTGCTGTATAAGTTCCAGGGTCCCAGTTAGTATGTGCCGTTCTCACATTCGACGTTTGTTTATCGTATCTGCATCAAAGTTGTCCCAAAATGTTTCATAAGGGACTACAGAGCCAGAAAATGGCAAAAGAAACGGTGTTCAAAAAATCACGGAGCCGGTATATTTTAGTTTCGTAAGGGGCCAGGCAAAAACCGGGCGACCTCGAACCCGAAGACGAGTACGGGACTTTGCCATCGCGTTTGCAGTTTTTCTACAAAGTTTGGCGTGCGTGTCGCAAGGTTTCGTGGAACTATCGTGTGGAAAACAAGATTTGATCAAGTTGCGATCACATCTCTGACGATCTTAACATCCGGATCTACGACCGACATCCGAAACACGCTCAACATGTTCTCGTCTATCTATTTCTACCTGCATATGTATGGTTGTACAGTACTATTGATATAAACTTCACTCGTGTTATGTAGCATCCGCGTACAGTCACTGTGTTCCATCAGTAAAGATTCAGCACGGACTGCCTGTCTCTGTTAGCAAAACTCCATCTTACAGAACTCAAGTATACCGGAGATCGGTGTGCCGCAGGTCACCAACCAACACACTTCCACACATCTTCTGTGTTGAATCTGTTGATTAACAGTACAGTACCAAAACCAGGATATAAGCCTTTAAGGACCCAGATTCCGTATATCGCTACCGGGATTTGTTTATTTTTCGCGGTTGTAGCCATGAAACCATACATCCCCTACAGTCGCACGTTTCACACAGAAGACTAATTCTTATGCAGAGCCGAATACATAAGAATAATGTTCCGAATGCAAAATGTTCGAAGTAAAAACTTTTTGTTTACGCTGAAAGTGCGCCACACTTACCGGTTGCTGGAAACAGCGTAATGTGTCCTAGATGTCTCCATGCTTCCGGCCCTTCCCTTCTGTGTGCACCCGTAGTTGGCAGTAACATTTACGGGGATCTTTGATGAGCACACCTGAACTGTTCCCGCAACTCTCCAGCAATGTCCAGGAATAATACTGTATAATCGACAATATCGTTGGCAGAACGAGTAACCATTGCCTTCGGTACAGAGGTCGGTGACTGTTCTGTTGGCTGTCATTTTATCGTTAAGCCTGTCATGGATATCCCATGGATGCACATAGGAAGGTCAGCGGCAAACAAAACCACCGAAACATCGATCACCGAGTCCATTTTATGGAACTATGTATTGTAGTTGAATCACCTTCTCCAAGTTACCAGTCTTTCAAGGCCCTAGCGCAGTTACA